GCTGGAAACAGCTACTATTAATATCTAAAGCCCCAGCCAAATGATCACAACATTTCAATGCAACATATTGCAACATTGTTGGGCCCAACATGTTGAGTGTATTTGGCCACCCTGTTGCGACGTGTTGCGATGTGTTGGGTATTGTTGGCTCAAATTTGATCAGTTTGAAACTTGAGTCAACCACACCCAACATGTCACATTGAACACAGTGTAACAAGGTAGCCAAATGTGCGCAGTATGTTGCATCCAACATGCATTGAAATGTTGCTATCCTTTGGCTGGGACTTAACACTTTGCCTTTATTTGGTCAGGGAAATTTTATTTTAGTAGTGTTCTATCTCCCTTTTCCAAACCCATTCATGATAACTGATAATAAATACTAGACTGAACTTACTACCATTTATTGAACAAAGGAAAACTACTATAATATTGTCTGACATTTTTATTACTTTTTATTTTCAGTGCATTGAGCTTTCTTCTTGGACTTTATCCACCAAGAAACCAAAGTCTCAATGTTTCTTATGCTGGAGTTTTTTATTCCCCATACAACATACAACAGGTTTGTGATATTCTCTTATTTTAAATGTCGCTCTAATGCTCTCTTTAAAGTCCCTTCCTCTGCTGTCCCTATTATGCAGTAATGATAGACCTTGAGAGTCTTCAGAAACAGTAATCATCATAGGGATAATCAGTGTAAACTGAGCTATGCAATGCCAACAAAGGGCTACATCTCCAAGGCTCTTAAAATTAGACATGATGATAAATCAGCTTGTAAAAGTCCTACAGAGAGTAAAAATGTATGTGACGATGCCTAAAGATATATTGTGGGTAGTGGTTACCGGTACTGTAATTTACCTCTGGTTGTTTGAAATTCCCAGTGTTTCATTGCAAAGGAAGGTGAAACCATGAATACTCTTATTTAATATGATTTTTCCTTCCCTCCCCCTAGAAGACCATGAACTTTGATCAACTAGCAGTTAACTACCACTTTCCAAAGAACCTTTAAGGATTGTTGTGTACACTTTTGTGCTTTTGTAAGTAACCTTTTTCAAAGCAGCTGTAACTTATGTTTAAAAGAACTGATATGAAACATTTATAAATAATCCAATTCTTGCTTTTAGTACTTTAATGTCTGACTTGTCCTAAGTCGTCCCTTCAGAGGTCCTGAACAGGTGACAGCCCAAGTGGACTTTGCCAGGAGCAAAGAAGGACGGCTGTTTTCACAGGCTAGGATTTTGCAGAAGGGGCTTGAGATACAAACCACCGTAGTGGGTTCTGGGGGCATCCTTCCCCAGAAAACTGTTAAAATTGAGTTTCTCAAAAATGAGATTTCTGGTATTCTGAGGCCAGGTCAGCATGTTATAATGTCTATTTTTTTAATTTAGGGGTTCTAGACTGAACTCCCTGAACCCCTAGATCCCCCCAGTGAGTGATAATTTTTATGGCCCAAGCTAGTACGTAAATGACTAATCATTCACAATTTATTCCTTTTATGGCAGGTTCCAATCCACACAGTTGCTGTGCAGAATGACCAAGTTCTCAGAGGATGGCTGGCCTGCCCTAAGCTTAACAAAAGACTTGATACATTTTATAAGAGTGCCGAATTTCAGAAGAAAGAGAATGAAAGCGCTAAATTGAGGAAACAGCTTGAAAGCATTGTAGGCATTGAGAAAATTGGACTTGAAGACTTCTACAATGTGTAAGACATTGAAGCAAGCTGCTGTTTACTTTTGCAATAATTAAGTAGTGGTATATAGGCATTTGTGACCTGTTGTTTTGAGTGCTGGCCCCAGTTAAGTCAAAGGGTGGATATTGCCATCCACCAGATAAATCACTATCCAGTGGATAGCATAGTTTGTTTTGCCAACATTTATCCACTGGATAGCCATTTCTCTGGCGACATCGCATTACTCACCCTTTGAAACACTGGTCCTTGAACTCCAGTTCAAGTGGTGTATTATGTAGGTTTGAGACTTGGCTGGGGTCATCATGTCGTGTTCTTTAGCAAGACATGGTGTCTCTCCCCACCCAGGTATTAATAAATGGGTCCTTGATTAGTGACAAGCTGCAGCTGCAAACTCAGTTTCACCTTAATTACTGGCTTACTGTCAATGTCAAAAAACTGTAAACACTTAGATTTGATTCTGACTGATCATAATAGTTCAGGACACATAAGGAAACCTCAAAACCACAAACTAATTATCATTGCTGTTTGTGGTTTAGTTTTCTCATGCCTGATTGGCTTTTTACTTGCTACACCATACCATTCTATAAGTATTTCTGGTATTCACAGTTTTCTGAGTTTCATGATAATAACCTAATATTTAATTTGTAATTTTCTGTTACCTCAGGTATGATTATATCCATCTTCACCAACTGTATAACCATACATATCTTAACATAACTGATGAGCAGTGGAGAAAGGTAGTTTATTTCGCAGACTGGGTTGAGTACAATAAATACAGCAAGGAAATGATTGGCGACATAGGTGGCGGGATTTTGGCCAATGAGATTGCTTCAAGTTTTAGTGAGATCGCAGCAAAGAAAAGCAAAAGAAAGGTATGCTAAAATCATTTGATAACGCCAACCTGCACTGTAAGTCTTGCATCCATGTGGATCTAAGCTGCTCAATTGACAACGCGGTGACTCTGAGTATCAGGTCCACATGCCATGTACAAATGACCAAACTATACTCTTGATTAATTTGTTGAAATGCTCTCACCACTGTACTAGTTGACAGACTATGAATCAATGACCATAAACTTAATCACATTGTTTTAAGGTCAGCACACAAGAGGGGACTAGTGCCTGCGACTAGTCCCTGTAAGAAGTCGCGGGGACAAGTCCCATCATGTGAACCAGCCATTTTTGCCCCAAAATCTAGTCGCAGGGACTAAAATTTGGTCCCTGTGACTAGTCCCATGAATTCAAACTGGTTTGAATTTTTGGGACAGGTCCCTGCGACTTGTTCCTCAAAATTCTTTGTGTGAACTGTTCCTGGGACAAGTCCCTGCAACCAGTCCCTCCGTGTAAACTCTTCAGGGGACTAGTTGCAGGGACTAGTTGCACCGACGAGTCCCCTCGTGTGTGCCAACCTTTAGGCATTTCAGTAGAATATCAGGCGAGCTGGACTGAACCATGGTTCACATTTTGTCAACATGCCGTTCAGAGCCAAAATTCCCATGGCAAGACCAAATGAGTCTGAGATCCCTTAGAAGTGTACCTGATTAGGCATTTACTGTACCTGAATTGGGCCTTGATTTTGGCCATATCAGGTTCATGACTTGATGTTGCTGGATATCAATGGATTGTCGGACGGGATTAATATTCTGGCTTACTAACAACACACCATGAGAAGTAAAGGAATTCATTTCATTTGGAAACAAAAATTTGTCAAAGAGAAAGACAGAATGATCGACTAACATTCTTTTGCCATTTGCACACTTCATATCTCTTTGATCTGCTGCACTATCGGGTATCACTCAAGTTTCAGATGATTTATAGTGTATCCATTGATGTCTTCTGGTGTCTTGGCAATGATTGTCCATAATACTACTGATCCCATTTCCTTCTGTCTTGTTTTTCAGCTGCTGTATTACTCTGCCCATTATCCAACAATGTTTTCTCTGTTTTCTGCACTTGGTTTAAACAAAATGTCTGACAGTCCTTTGAGAAGAATACCATATTATGCTTCCTTAGTTTTCTTCGAATTACTACATGATTCTAACAATGACAAGTTTGTTGTTCAGTTTTCTTTCAAGAATGGTTTAGAGGTAAGTGTGGAAGCTACTATTTTCAGACATTTTCCCATGAATTTGGTTGAAGATTTCAACTACTTTCATGTTTTGACTGTAGATGTGTTTTCTTCCCACCAGGTGGTTATTAAGTCTTGACCATCAGTTTAGTAGAGTGAACTATTCATTAGGCTTCCACATCTCATATTTCATATTCCCATTATTTCAAATATTCTCCTTCCTTTACAGTTGAGCAGCAGCTTTTCATTTTTCCCTCCCTACCGTATTTCTTTTTTTGGGGGGAGGGGGGTACTCTACAAAGTTTGGTACAGGAAGGCTACACCCGATGTCCAACCCCTTACACTTTTGTATACCACGTTGACAGAAAAGGTACTCATTTCTTATACCTTTTAAAATAGTTACCCCTTTCTTCACATACCTACTTTAGAACACTGCTTCCATTTCTAAATCCTTGGAATGAAGTTAATTAACAATACTACAGGAGAATGTCAAGCATTACCAGAAGAAATGTTAACCGAAGAACAAATATTATTTTTCAGTTTCAATTTACATTATACCTAAATGGCAGATTGCCCTACCCTTTCATATACCTCAACTTGTGAAATTCCTACCCTTTTCAATTGTGTATATACTTGAACCCTCAAAAAGGTACCCCCTTTGGGCGGAGCCTCCCCGTATAAGCCGTTAATGGGGAGTACTGCCCCCCCCCC